ACACCTAACAATACTAACGACACACGCAATTTTGTTGATGAGCACGTTTTAATGCCAACACTTCATTGGACAGCTTATTATAATTATACTAACCCCCTCTGCCTACCATTAGCTAATACCCATGAAAGTATCGAGAAGAACAAAAACGTGTTATATAGACTCACCACAACACGAACACCTCGACAATTTACTTACGTTGGATATAAAAAATTATTAAAAACATTCACCGCACCCCGAGCTAACGATTTTGCAATAGAATAATACGATCATAATATCATTCGTCCTAATCAAGATCAATTTTTAGATGAAGACCGCTTCGCAAACCCGCAACTAACAGAAAAATTTTTCATTAAAACATCATACGTGTTTACACATAATATTTTTGATAGAAAGCATGATCACATTATTTCAGAATCACTAGTTGACATTCAAGCATACGAAACCTTCTATGATAAATTTCAGTTATTTTCCTTAACCTTTCACTTTCTTTCACCACAGGAACGCAATTTGCACTGTTCTCAAGATATTATGTTACGCATTAAACAAACGCAGACATATCCATATTATCGTTTTATACAAAATCATTTTGATTTACACACCCTATCAAGACAATTTCACCATCGTTTTCAGTTTCTTAACTCAAAATACACGTCACCAATTTTTCTTAATTTTACATATTGCATTAAAGAGACTAACCTCCACAGCATCCTCCGCAACTATGACCCAGTTACCCAAATGTATATATTCTGTCCCATCACAAAGACCTTCAATGCTGAAGAATCAAGACCCTTCCTTACCCCGCATGAATTTATCCAACCTATTGAAATACCCATATTAGAATTCCTTCACAATACTAAATATAATCATAAAAAATATAACCTCATCCAAAACACACCTTACGAGTTCGCAGTAGGCACAGAAGAACTAAACACCATCAAGGCACTTCAATTGCTTTGGCCACTGCTACAAACTAAAAATATCTTGCCTAGCCAAATTACTAACAACATCAGACATGATTCACGACATCTTCCCCCACGGTTTTTTCCCAGAAGACTAAGGCAACTATAAATTAAAATATTTTTAAATAATAAATTTAAATTTGTACTAATCATTTTCTATCAATGTTTAATTTATTCTTTTAGTCTTCACACCACAATCATCTACAAAACAGAAAAGAAAAATAAAAATACAAACTTGTTAAATTATCGTAAAATTCATTAATTTCTTGCACTAAATAATGTAGTAAAATGCATATCGAATGTAGTAAATTTATTTATAAATTATTCCCATGAAGCAGTAAACTTGAAATATGATGAAACTAAATTGATAAAATTAGAACGCAGTACTAACCTTTTCAATATTTTCACTCATTCGCACAAGAATTCTATCCAAACTCGCACAGTTCGCCCACGAAGAATTATTTAAAAAATGATTTTAAGTTTCAAGCTTTCACTATCAACAAATCTTACACACGATAACAAGTTTCAAACTTTCCTTTAACCCAGTTGGAAAGGAATTATACACTAAACCAAACTAACCAACGCAGCTTACTAAACACCACAAATCATAAAATAACGGCATGACTAAGAAAAGAAAACCAACGGTATCCAAACCGGATTAACCCAGTTTAAAACTGGATAATTTATTCTTTTGAAGACTATTATAAAATCTAAGAAAGAAATAATAAAACGCAAAAAAGTCGCAAGACAAACCCAAACCAAAAACAATTTTATTTTTGAAAAAAGGACACAACCAAAGTAACATAAGAAAGACCAGAAAAAACCAACATAAAAAGTTATCACATAACAGGACCTCTCAAAGAAACAGCATGCAATCATTTTCCCACTCCTGGCCTAACCCACCAGAGAAGGAAGTCCTGAGCAGGCTTTTAGCCGGCCTAACCCACGGCGCTACCGACACGCTTTGTGACCACACTTCAAGTTTTAATAAGAGGTACTCAAGGGTGAGTAACTCTTCAAAATAACTGAACTAAAACAAAATGCTTTTGTGAAAGCGACTAATTAAGTTCATGATTAAAAAGCCAAATTAACATAATTTTATAAAATGTAAATCATACTTTGCAGTATATAGATCATACACAACAACAAAGACGAACATCCGAAGACTAGATAATCCCATCACACTCGAACAAAAGAATGGCTAAACACAACCGACATGCCGTCCACAATCACGACTCAAAGGATTTAAAGTACGGCTTGACTTCGCAGAACAGGACTTCCTTGAACTAGACCAATGACCACCTCGATGCTCAAGTATACGTACAGATTCGAGTTACAAGGCATCCCTTCCACACACGATCTTCACGCCATTCCCAGACGAGGCTGCACACATAACAGTTCTCTACTAATACAGAAAAACCTGACATAGCAAACTATTTTGAAATCGGATTGATTTCATTGGGGTTCACAGTCGTTGTCGAATGACGAAATAACAATTTCCTATCCTTGATTCCAGCGTCCTGGAACGTTTTTCTTCAAGAGGAACCGGATAAGAAAATGATGTTTGCCAAATACCAACGTTCATCATCCATCCTTCAATTGCAGAGAAGAAATATAGTTCTAAATAACTCTGTAAACCCCGGATGGGTGGAACCTGAACTAAACTACATTTTATAATTGGATAATTTAGATATTTTACCACTGTAAAAAATTTAATATTAACCAATCATAATCCATCTAACTAACAACCCACTTATTTGTAAGTGCTGAAATTACTTGTAATTTCAGCACCAGAGAGATTTGAATTTAACTTAGAAATTAGTTACCTCTCCAAGAGAACTTCAGCAGTTGCAATAAGCCAGTATACCCTAGATCTATTGAGCCTAGCAGAGACTAGTTAAACACCCTGAGACTAGAAAGTATAAGAGTAAGATTAGGATCGGTATTAGATTAAGAAGTTGCACGAATCTATCCGGCCGAAAATAAGATAGCGTGACGAGCAGACGGTGTAGCCTATCCGAAACTACTCTATGAGTTAACCTTAAGGACCTAACTCAGAACGCACATTTTGCCACCAATTTTTTTGCATCAGTTACTGTTTCTTACTGAGCAACCTACAATTTTTGTTGCAAATTTATTCACTTGTTGTTCCGTTTCAAGTAAGTTTTTTAATTACAAAACTAAATTTTCGCGGGAATTTTCTATTTGACTATTTAATTTGTTTGGAGAATCAAAATAAGTGGGTTTTAAGTGCATTTTTTTGTGCAAGTGGCTTTATGTTTCAACTTTTGTAAACCCATTTTTAGCAACCACATTTAACGTCAGGTTATAGCAGGTGGCATAAAAAACACTGATCCCTTAAGTCGTGACTCGATCGAAATCAATGAAAAAAATTTTGAAGAGGTCAGAAAAAGGGCTTAAAAGTATTGGTATCAGACTAAATTAAAGCGAGTTTCGCGAGCGAGTAGAGCTAAAATCTGCTACACAAGCTAAAAAAATTACGTTTTCAATCGTGAAAAAAAATCCAAGCCTTTTTTGTTAGCAAATCGCACACAAAAAACCCGACAGAAATTGAAATAACAAAACGATCAAAGAATCGTTCTTTCAAAAGGTTTTAGAAAAAATGTGCTATTTGCCGAACAACCACCAATTTTAGTTAATTTTTTTTCTTTGTTGGTTTTAAAGAAAACTCTCGTTTTGTTCCGACCAATGAAAAAAGTAGCTTCGTCTTCGGGGTTTATCTACAACTGAAAAACTAACCAAAAATCTCAGTATTGAGAAAAACCGTCTGACGTTTTTGATTTTCTGTCTAGGTTTGAGCGAGTAAAGCAGGGAGTAGCGCCTTGTTGAAAATCGTTATTTTAAATAAACAATGGCTTGTTTGTTGAAAATCGGTTATTTAAACCGTGAAATAATTACCCAAGGAAAACAATTTCTAAGCTTCATTTTGCGCTTCCTTGCCAGAAAATATTCAAAATTCCAGATATTTGCAAAAATTAGAAATTTTCTGTTTTTTTAGATCATTTTTGTGTAGTCAATTTGGGTCTTTTCACATATTCCGCCCAAAAAATTCAACATCGCATCCTTTTCCAATATCTATTTGAAAGTAAGTGAGACCAGTTGCTCTATTTTGAGGCGCCACATTCGTATTTTTTTTCAACCAATCAGATTTGAGCATTTCGTTTTCTGTTTTCATGTTTTAAGAATTACAATTTTGGGCGGAATAAGTGGAAAAACTTTTGTCGAAAGCTGTTAAAATGATTTTTTTCTGGGGTTTTTATATGAATGTGGTCGGAACTTTCGATGCTTCTAGCACAAAAACGGGCTAATTTCATTTTTAATTGTGTAATAAATCATCAAATATTTCTGGTTCAAAGTTTCTTATTTCAGACCAGGGCTTGCATCTTATTTCAACGAACGTATTTTACCGTCAAATTAGAAATCAGATACGCTAATTCGCTAATTTGAATTTCACAGTTGATTTTGAATTTCACAGTTGATTTTGAACTTCACAGTCTGGGCTGAAGTTGAAGGATTACTTCAGATGAAAGAATAAATTTCGCCTGAAATCTTTTCAACTTTAATGCCCTTTGATTTTACTTCCCCTATAAAAACCTGTTTCATGTTTATACAGCCGCGCTAATGTGACCTTGAAGATTATTCTGCCAATTTGAATGCTTTATATTCCTGGTAAAATTTCCATTATTAAATGTATAAAATAACTTTTGGTTGGTTTGATATGCATTGTTGTTTGTTTTTGAAAATTTCTGGGTTTTGATATCTTGAAGCGATCATTTACTTAATTTAGTTTTTTTTTCGGAGTTTTATAAACAATAACGGCAATATTTCAATATTCTGATTGAATAGCCCGAAATATACAATCATGTTAACATTTTAAACAATTTAAATTGCATTTTATGGTTTAATGAGCATTGCATTAAATCACATTCGCAAATAAAGTAACTCTAGGCTACAATTTGGTTGTCCAATCAAAAAGCGGAGGTGTTCTTGTTTATTTGGACCGCCGGTAAGTTGACTGGCAACAAAGTTCCTTGTCTTCCCAGTTGCCTGGACAGACTTTAATGTAGGTATTCTGGCAACTTACTGCTTCCCGAGTAATTGTGTGGCAAATACTTTTCCCCGAGTTTATTTTGACAACACACCTTCGGGTAAATAATTTCTTCGTAAAACTCTTTTTATTTCATCTTCGGGCTGTTTTTGACGTCGCAAGGTCGCATGATTAAGTGATTGAATCTAAACTGCATTTGAATAATTGCTTGCAGGAGTTTTCCCAGTTTTCCCTTTCGAAAGGAGTCAAATTCTAATCTAACTTTGTAATTCTGATTACACCATAATTAGTGTCACATCTAAAACTACTGAAAATATCATAAATCAGCTCAAATCAACCGTATCTTCTAAATACTTATCAAATTTACGACTATAAATTTTGTTTTCGACGTTTTTCTCATTCATTTGATAATTACCATTTTGCAATAATTGTTTCCTCGGGAAAATCTTGCAAAAACAAAAAACAGCTTTCTGCCAACAAATTGGGAGTTCCTGTCATTATTTATTACATTCTGCTATTTAGGATTTACTTTGATTTTTCGGTTTACTTGTTAATATAATTAGCTGCGCCCAGAAATCGGACACTTCGCCTAATAAAAATCATCGTGGGACATTTCGATTCAGCTGGTGAGATTTTTCACTACTCCTAAATTAAATTCATGCCGCTTTTGGACCATTTCTTATTTCATTCAGGTGTGTTCAGCTATACTGTAATAAACACCATGTAGTAGGCAGTTCTATATCCCATTTTGCGTCACACCTAACTGTTAGTCTTTCTTTGAAGTCGGCCGCAGTTTATTTAGCCCACGTCAACATAAATAAATACACCCCCGCAAAAAAGGCATTATGATTTAGCGGTCCAATGGAAGCTTAAAGCCACGCGCCAAGTACAAAATCGGTAAGTTTTCTACCTATTTAAAAAAAAAACGTAGAACACCTTAACAATGGCGTAAAAGTTTGAAAAATTTTAGAACGTTTCCATAGTAGTGGACAAAATTTACGCAAACGTAGGTTTTTAAATTCTAAAAGTCTAATTTCAAGAACTCTTTGATACAATATTTTCTTTAAACTTTTGTATCGACCGTGAGGAAATGATCTTAGTTACCCCCTGTTAATGTATCAATACTTCGTTTCGAGCACTTTTTTTTCCTGCAGAACATGTTAATTTCATATAACCTTTTGTCTAATAAAACATGTCTTCTAGGAATGATTACTTTTACAAACAATCAAAGTTAAAAATTAAACTGCACAAGGCACCAATTATTTTAATATTTATTAATTAGCTTACTAAGAAAAAAACTATTAAGAGAAGTAACTTCTGAATCCACCGAGTGATCTATAAATTGGTACTGATTCGTGTAATTGTGTTTCTGTACAAGGTATGTCTTTATTTTACCAAGTCTGAAAAAGCCAGTTTTCATCATCTGTAGTTCGTTTTTCCAATAGACTGATATTCTGGGTCACAGTCGAGCTTAAAAAAGTTATAACACTGAACAGTTCAGTTTTTTTGTAAACTGTTTTTTTATCGAATGGTTAATTTTCCCCCTTATTCGAATTGAGAAAGAGTTCAATCTGATAGAAAATCTACTGGATGTTGAAAACGAGCATTTTCAGTCTCGAAAAAATTGGAAAATGCTTAAACTAAGTAGTGATACTTTCATAGAGAGCAGCTGATATCATATTTTCACGGTCAGTGTGAAAACTTAATTGAAAAATCATTAAAAAGTTGTCCCAAATGGTTTTAAAAGTCAAGTATTTTAGACGTATAGACTTAAATTAGCATTCATATTTGTCTACTTGAGTAATTGCAAATCGGAGGAAAAATTACCTCTCACGTGAATGAGGTTTAATTATTCATGGTCATTGTTTTCAGCTTGATAAAAATAAAACAAATTGGCAGGACAAATTTTTCATCAAATTTTCTTCGAATTTTTGCGTCAAAAGTGACAATAAAAGACTCTTTTAATGATGAAAATTGTCATAACTAGAATTTTTTTTGATTTTTTTTGCACCTTGAAGACAATAGCTCTAATTTTGTCTCTCCTTAAATCTTTTTAGTACGCGAGTTGTGAAATCACGAGAAAAAAAAACATCAAAATTATACTGGAAAATTAATGAAAAGGCAACATAAACATTTCAGCTACTTGTACCTCGAGGTAAAAAGGAATCGAAAATTTAAAAAAAACTTTGCAAAAAAATCTTATGAAGCTAAATTGATTGCAATTCTGGCAACTAGTTTAACTAAAAAGATTTTTGTTCATCGTTTATTTTATAGAAATTTGGAACATAGAACGCCACGTTTTTCCGGCGATAAGAACGATTTTATTTGAATGATTTTGAGTACAAAGTTTCTTTGGTAATCTTGTCCAGAAAATACCTTTGTTTCCTAATCTCAGGTCAGTTAGAAAATAATCTGCTTTTATTCACCAGAAAAACCATCAAGAATGACCAAACTTTGAAAACCGATTATCAAATGGTTATTCCGTAATTCAAAAATTTGATTGATGCGCTTTCAACATCACGCTGTAAATCGAAGTGAAAAACTGGCCGATTATAAAAACACAAAAATTTTTTTTAAGAAGTAGGAATCGATTTTTAGGAATTCAATTGTAAACGACTTTTGTCAGATAAAAGGTGTAATAACAATGAAAGGTGTAATAACTTTATGTTTTCATCACTTCACTTTTTGTCTTTTTCGGACATCTTTTTTTGATTTTTCAAAAGTATCAAATTTTTCGAAAAATGAATTCGGAGGGGTGATATCAGTGTACTACCAGCAGTTACAAAAGTGGCGGCCATCCTAATGTTAATGCTGAAGTTTTTCTTTTCATTGTTTACATTTTCTTTACAACCACAATTTTCATTAATCTTAGAAAAAATCTAATTTTCATTAATCTAAGAAAGAAAATAGTTGCGTTGGGTTTTTTTTTGATGGCCGCAAATGATTTACGCACGGGCTAAAAAAGAATATAATTAAACAAGATTCTCATTCATAAATTCAGTGATTACGCCAACCAAAATTTTAAATATAGAGTGCAGTTATATGCTGCTGGCCATTTTAGGGTTTTGTTTCTGAGTTCCAAACACGAAGATCTGAAAGCCACTAGTTTTGGAGATTCGACCATTTTAGTAATTAAAGAAAAATTAGGTGGGTATTTTTTATCTAGGGATTTTTGGAATCAAAAACGTTGTTCAATTCCCCGTCTGTTGTCACGGTTGCATTTCTTTAGTTTTCTGTTATATTTTTTATATGAGCCATTTTCAGATATGCTAATATGTGTGAAGCACGGGAGCTGTTGTATACGCAAATTATATCAATTTTTTGTTGTGAAAAAAAGATTACCAGAAGTACCAAAAATTGCTGCAATTTTAGAAAGTTGTAAAGCAAATGAAAAGCAAAACACTCTGCTAAAATGTTTTCTGATTTTCTATGCTATTTTTTGAATTTTTTTTCCTGCTAAAACGTGAGTGACTACAATTTTCTACCTGAGCGTAAATAATTGCAATTCATTTGAAGTATACAACAATTATGAACGTCAAAAAAATGTATGTGTCTTAATACAGCTGCAACTAGCTTGAAAATGTTTTCGACAAATTTTTATCAATGCGTAATTCGTTGAAAACAAGCTGCCTGGCCTGTAATTTAAAGCATGAGCGCTATTGATCAAGTGTAGTTCCTTATGTTCAGATTTTTTATTTAAGTAAGCAATAAGTGTACCAGCGAAAACTTTTATTGACATAGACTCAACAAATTGATTTTAATCTAGTTTTTAAAGACGACTCATCGTGTCAGTACAAGGCTCGGAAAATTCCTACTGCACTAAAACGTCTCGATGAAAAAAATTGTTGATAAAAAAAGTTCGAAAAAAATGATTTTCAATTGCATGAATTTAATTTGGAACAATTCAAGTCATTTCTTACGCTTTAACAGATCAAAAGCAGCAAACTTTCATTTAAAGCCTGTCGTGCGTTAGTTATTCCAAATTAACGAAATTACATTTTCGCGATTTCTAGACAGACCCACACAAATTTAGGAAAGTCTTTCGCACAAAATTTATAAAGATTTTTTTTACTTTTAAAGCTCCAAATATCCATGTAATTCAGGATATTCAATCTAGTCAAAAACTTTTTGTCATAAAAAATCTTACAGAAAAATTGTTGTTTGCCTTGAGAAGAAACCATCCGGAGCATAGCTACTTGGTTTTTCTTCAAAAATCAGAGTCATAATTTTACATTTACGTTTTTCTTCTATGCAGAAAGCCGTAGCATTATAAAATCCGGTTTTTAACCGAATGAGGCAATCTTATTGATTTGTACTTGAATTAGCATTTCGGGAGGAACGTATAAAAAGATAAAGGTTAATTAATTGATGATTTTCGGCACTGCTGAACAATAAACTTAATTTCAGCACTCTTGTGCTTCGGAACTGTTAAACCCTCCTCTAAGGATATTGCAACAGTGCCGAAGTACAGCAGAGCCGAAAATAAATTTATTGTTCAACCGTGCCGAAAATCATCAATTTTTGTCGCTGTTGAACTACTTTTTATTTTCGGCACTGTTGTAATGTACCGTTGTTTTTGATTTTTTAACGTTTTTGGTTCAGAAAAAGTTTTTGGTTCTTGTAAGAAAAAAGAGATATTGAAGCCCAACAATGTAAGCTTTTTTATCAAATTTTTTTTCTCTTCATCACCCTTTTTGAGAAGATGCACTTAGTTGCTCTTTTATCTTTAAGAAATCGATTGATTTTCATGACAAATCGATGCAGCTGGTCGTGAAAAAATTATCATAAAAATGAATTATTTCATACTTTATCAAAATGAGGCCAACAATAAGAATAAGATTGATTTTGTTTAATCTTCAGAATTACGAACTTGAATGTTTGTTTCATGAAAAACACTTATATTTTCAAGCAATTTCATTGTCTCGCTCAATTTTTCCATGTTTTCTGTTGAGTTCACGTTTTACTTGAGATAGTTGCTTTTAATTCAATAGCATAATTAATGCTCCTTTGGAAATATACTTCAAGCTTTTTCCGGTTTAATTGAGTTCAAGCAACGGAAGTTTTTGAGGGCGAGCTGAAATTTTTTCTTTTCAACACATATCATGTGGATCGGAAATTAATCTTTCAAATCATCACGGGTCCGGATAACACCTACGGGGGCTTTTTTTCACTTGATTTACTCCATTGAAGGTCAATTAATTTGCTAAATTTTGTCTTGTTTCCTTTCATTACAATTTCACTATCTCTATGGTCGCTTAAACATTTTGTTTTCAAATCAATTCTTGTGAAAAAATTTTTGTATAAAGACCGTGTTGATCAAATCGAACCCAACCCCTTGTATAAGTTAAGCTTAATTTCCCCAATTTTTTATTTGCCGTAGCGTATTTGATACATTTTGAATAACAATAGAGCATATTCTTGTTTTGGCCATTACTTATTCAATCGCGTTGAAATTGAATCGGCAGGTTTTTGCCAATACCAAGTTGGTAAGTCTCATAATAATATATTATAATAATAAGTTGTTTGCAAATTAGATTCCATTCGTTGTAAAAGTTACTACATTTACAACCAAACGAAATCTCATTGCGAGAGCGCCGTGGAACTATGCAACCCGTTTTCAGGCGCC